ATCCTCGTTTAAAAAATCCATAGAACCATTTCAAATCCCTGTCTTGAATAAACAAACAAACCGAATACAAAAAGATCAACAAAATCGTTGCATTTCACAACGGAAGTGTGACAATCGTAACTCAATTATCAATAAATACACCTAATTCCGTCTACATCGCTCACAAACCTCGAAAGAAAAACATCCATCGTTCTCAACAAACTATACAAACGAAACGCGCGACCGTCGAAGTGGCAATATTAATTACATCAATCTGCCGCACTTCAGCACTCAATTCCCATAAAATAAAACCAATCACCGATTGCCCGAATAGTATCGTCCGTTCCGTCGAGTCACGAGATTCGAACCGGAAACAGAAACAAGGAAAAAGGACGAAGAATTAAAAAAAAACCACGCGCGCGTACACACGGGCTGCACGTAACGCTTGCGAAGTGTAAATCATTCAAAAAAACGCATTTCATCTCCCGTCGAGCGGGCGAATGCCGTTCCGGCCAGAAATTCGCATATTTTCCGGCTCGCGCTTTCGCAGCGCATCGTTACAAACAATGCCGGGATACGCGTAACCGAAAGTTACCGCCGTTTTCATGAGGCGCGTCGCTGACAATGGCAACTTAATGGGGTCAGAATCGATCTATACGGTAACCTGTCCTTCCCCCTTGTTCCGCGAAACGCGAATTTTCGCTGGGCGTCACAGTAGCTCGGCCCCGGTCGGAACTTCCAGCTGGAAATTCAAGAAATTCGAAACAGCCCGCAAAGAAGGGGGTAGCGAAACAATGACGTCCGCGTGTAACCGGGGGTTGGCGGCGACGGGGTGGCTGTATTTTTGAAAGCGCCTTTGTGCTCTTCGCTTTCAAATTTCCAGCTACGCTTGAACTTGGGTAACTGAATTCTATTGGTCGCCGCGAGCTGTGCCAGCATTCACCGCTCTCCCCTCCCCATTCCCCCTCCAGCGACGTTCATACTCTTAAGAAAGCTTTCATTGTTGAAATTCTAACGTGAACTATATTTCCTCTTCTTTCCACCACCTCGTTCCGCGGGTTTTCGGGTTGCCCGACTTGGCCACGTCGTGTCGGCCGACCACCACCGTTTTTAGGAATGCTCAAGGGCTGACCGGAGTCGACCCTATCGAATCTGTACGTTCGGAATTTGTATTATGTGGTATATTAATAGAATACGATTACTATTAATAAATCTTACTATGACAAAACGCTCGAAATTCTCGTGGCAGTCAACGTGTTTATATATATGTACTATTGTGTTATATTATATGATATTGTATAAGGGAATAGCCGGTTTTTTAGATTCGGGGAGAGTTACACCCGTGGGGACCTAAATTAATTGGCTAATCAACCCCAGGGTAATGGGTCCCGAGGTACCGACTCCAATTAGATCTATCTCCATATCGCGCAATAATCAGAAATCACTGTAACATTGAATCGTTTTATATGTATAGTATTTATCCTTTCGTATTCTTACGTTACACTGTTATCTAGTTACTGATGCTGTTAATCATTTTTATGACATCACTCATCTTCGTACATATTAACTCCACTTGTTTAAAATTGACACCTACAACTCTACGTTTGTAGACACTGATGGTAAAGTTTATTCCATTGTTCTTAGGAAAATTGATGTCCATTCATTTAGATCTTTTGAGTCAGAGATCCAAACATAGACGATGTTTACGTAATCCGTGGATCAAACTAACGTCCCATAAGCCTAACTGTAATACATCGAATAAAACTAAAGAAAATCAGACAGTTGCAGAGGTCAAGCTTAACCTGTTCAAGCATACTGGCACGTATGTGTAGATTTGACTTTAGTTTGACATTAAAGTCCATCCAATAGACACTTCTCTTTCGTATATCTTTTATAATTGCCTCCATTTATCTTCGTATTGTTCAATTCGTATCAATTTGAACAAAATAAATTCCAGTTGAGCGGAAAATAAAATCATCTTTGCCTATTTTGAAACGGATTTCGCGTCACCTCGACGCTATGACGCGTCAGTCGGAGCAGAAAGGAACGGAACGAAGCGTCGCCTCGCGTCGCGACGAATAGTTTCACCAGGGTGGCGTTTATTTAGGACGCGGTCTCATCATGAAACGATAATATTACAGCCGACCAAGCAGCGATTAATGGAGCAATCTCGACTGGGACTGATGTTATACGCAATTGAGGGACAGCTTCTGGCTTTTCATCAGGCGCGGGATGCACGCGTCGCGGAATTACCCAGGTTATACGGTCCGTGGCGATCTATTCGACACTGGGAAATATACTTTACGACTTATTGCTCGGTGTTTAGGGTATTATCTGGATGTGGATCTCGACCGGAGGCCGCTCATGTTATTTCTACTCGTGACCCTGCGCAAAGTATCACGATACATTATTTATGAGCGGTGCTCATGAATAATACGACGTTGTTTTTTTTTCTGCCTCTTTCCTTCGCCTCCTCTTTTTTTTTATTGAGTTGAACACTCGCATTTGGGAGATCGGAATTGCGGGTTTCCTTGATCGAGTCTTGACCCTTGGCATTAGCGAGCGTGACCGGTTTTTGCTTCGCTGGATTAAGAGGGAGGATTTTCGAGATCGACAGTATTTTTGGGATTATCTGGTGGACCATGAAGTTTTTCTGTGAGCTAAGTGAATATTTTCGAGTACGGGTATTATACATGAATAAATGCAATGACAATTATGTATATTAAATGGATTATTAATGAATTGTTGGGAAGTGCGTTATTTGGAGATTGAAAAAAGCGAATGAGAAAATGAAGTTGTATGAATACGTGGGAAGAAAAGGAGATTTTCAGTTAACTTCCGATATGTGCGTAACACTAATTTGTATTTGCACTAATACAGGATTTTAACGATTCCCGGCAACGAAGTTTACGGGACTGTAAACTACAGCGGCCGTTTAAACGGCAACGGGCCGCGCAAAAGTAATATACGACTCGTTTCGTTTTCGCTCAAGGTTTTCTAATTATAAATTAACGCGACAGAGATGAATGATAATGCGAGATGGCAAAGTCCGCTAATTGCCGACACGTAAATGGAGGTGATTAAGAAGAAAGTTTTTCCATTGGGGACTTATAATCTTGTTCTTATTGATTTAAATGTAACTTCGTAAAACAGAAATTGCTCTTTAAATCCGAGTTCCGCGGGAAATATGAGTTCTACGTTCTCAAATTTCAGCCGTGGAAACATCGCCACCTCGAAGTTTCCATTAAGACTCTTGAAGTAGTTTACATCGGGACTGAAGTCGCCGCCATGTCACCAGTATTTCAACTTTCGAACTTTGATAATTGGCAGAACCTCCGAAATTTCGTTTTTCCAATTACTACACGAAACTTAGTTCATCTCCCATTGTGAACAAATAGAATAATTCATGTATATAATAATTTATTAAATGCATAAGTAGTAAAAGAAGCAGTTAGTATGACGAGTGTATAATTAATTTATTCATGGAGTCGTGATATAATCGATTCTTTTCTGGGGAAGTAACTTTTCTTTCAACATAAGCATTCGCGTTTAATAAGTTACGAATGCCGAGTTTCATAACTCTAGGGAGAAGTTAACAACAGCCACTGGTACCTTATTCAGTTAATTTCGTACAAAGAGGAACGTGTAAGTTCTGACAGTTATTGCACTTTAAATCAAGCGAGATGTTTTAGTTTCTTACAGTGTCAGTTTAACGAGCTTCTGGTACCATTTTCCCTCTTATTTTCCGTTACATTCAAAATCCGTAATTTCGTTTCTATCGAATCGCGACAGGGTCGAACGCAAACGTATACAATTGAAATTCTGCAACTATTAGACTCATCGTTGACGCCAACTAATCGGATAGTCAATTATCGTTTCCTGATTTTCAAAATGCGGAGTGACAATTAAGAATTTATTTCGAAGGCGTTTGAGTGAGAGATGTTAAAGAAATTCCATTATACTTATTGCACGATGAGATTTGAGTAACTCGATTGTTTTTTTCATTGAATCGTCATCCATTTTTATATCGTATTAAGCAGAATTACTTTTCGAGCGTAAAATTGGTATATGACATCAAAAATGTGTGCAGTCGTGTTTCAGAATGTTCCATTGAAGTTTCTGGAGAGTATCACAGTATGGTACTTCTCTGGAAAAAGATAAATAAAATCGCAGAAAGTTACTCGTTACCGAACCATACAACATTTCCATCTGTTACTCGTACTTTCTTGTACTTTTCCTTGGAAGAGACCTATGGTCCGTCCAAGTTAGGAAAATTACTTTCCGCAGTTGTCATGGTGGAACATCGGTGGACCCGCCAACAGTAGGTCATGATTTCCAACTTTAAATTACCATTTCTCGGTCCGGAATACTCGACAAAAGAGTACGGGTAATTATTCGCAATAAGCGTACCTGTTTTGACAAGCCGCTGTTCCACGAAGTTACCGTTCATGTAACATCAAACTAAAATTAAACGAGTCTACAATAATGGAACCGATATTTCTCGATTCCTTATCAACCAATATTTCTCCCTTTTCATTCAATTACAAAGAATTCGAGAGAAGAGAACCATCACGGATAACCCTCGATACGACCTGCAAATAAAGAAAGAAAAATTCTTTAGACGCAGAAAGTAATCTTTCTTAGTCTCTAATTAGCAATGTCTTTGGAAACTTTTTAATCACGAGGATAAGTCACTCTAGGGTTTATATTTAACATCGCCACCCCATTTCAAATCGCAGAACGAATATCAGATTGAAACGATAACAACCGCTTGGTCGAAGAATTCCAGGCTCTCATCTTAAAATTCCGGTCCGCTTGATTATGAGCTCTTTACCGAAATAAAGATTCATTTAAATTGTCCACGGAGATCCAGCTGGAAATATTCCGGTCGAGTAAGGGAAACGACGAAGCTTCCGAGCCATCGAGAGCATTCTTTTATCCGCAAGAGCACCTAATTTACCGTTACGATTCGTCGTGGTTTGGTCATTAATGTCCCCGTTTTCCTTTTGCCCTTTTTCCAGGACGGCAATCGAGGAATCTGGAAATATTGGGGCAGATATCGGGCCACCATTATGGGAGGCAGTACGCGTCGATATCAGAGAACTACAAAAACAGTAAGTTGTTTATTATTCTTCACGAGCTATTCGAAATATTTATTAGAAGATACTACGTTCTTATTAATCAAATGAGAATGTTTCAGTATCATATCCTTTAAATTTTAATTCCCCGCAATTCGAATACTTCAATTTAATATGTACACAGGTACATAGGTACACAGGTATATGTACGTTCATTAATATTCAACGCAAAAGAAATTGATTAAAATTTCTTTAAAAATTTTATTAGAAAATTCTATCTAAGACTATATGATACAAGTTTTTCATTAGACTGCTGAACCCATAAAAGCAACTATTATAGTAGTATGTAGTTCAAACTTTCCAATTCAATTTTCCATAAACAAACAACGAAATTATAAAATTACCTCACCGCGTATTTCTGCTTAGCCGCAAATATCTCGAATCCTATCTACCGTAAAAAATCGGTAGCGACGATAAGCTCCACGGAACTCTTCAAGCATTTCTGTTTACGCGGTTAAGCATGAAAGGTGTACAGCTATTTACCTCATTACCCGCCTTCGCAACCCATACTTACAGAAATTGAGGCCGAGTAAAAGATTATTATTCCTTTTCGTAATGAGAGGTAGGGTCATTCGGTGATCATAATCCAGCTTTAAATCAGCACTAAGAATCTCGAGAGATTATCGCGATAGAAAACTCGATCCGTTCCTCTCTCGGTGTTTCACTCTTCCTCCGTTTCCCTCTGGCTCGTTCCCGCCGTGGACGTTGAAAATCACACACTCGCGGCACAATGAACGTCTAGCGGAACGCCAGCATTATTGCTGTTGCTGTTGTTGTTTCCGGTAAAAGCCGAAATAAACTAGGAAACGGCCGTGTTTTCACATTGCGTTAACGACTGCGCCGCTATACGGCCAGGGGGGCAATGAAACGGACCGTTTCACGTGGCCGTCCCCGCGCGCCGCCGCCATTGTAAAGTAACTTCCCCAGCGCCGGGCTCTTGTCTGCCCGCAACTTCGTCCTTCTTCGACGCGGTATCGCCGTGCTGGAAGTGAGACTTCACCACCGCGTCCCGCGGATAACTATATTTAATTAATCCCCGAGGGCCGTAATCCTCGCGGAAATGGCACTCGATACTGAATTTTTACCGTTCACCCGATATCGAATAACCGTTCATCGGCATTACCAGACGCAGTCCGTGCCACTCGAATATTATCAATGTCGGAAACTGATAAATGAAAATTGTTTGTGGTTAACGCTAAGCTCGTTAATGCGGCCTGCTAATGAACCGATTGTTATTGCGCTTTTTACGGGTGATTTCGATCGGTGTGAAGTTTGCTCGGTCGCTTTCGGTTACTCCGAATCGTTCTTGTAGCTTCATTTTGATGCTTGTTATTGGTAATGGTTGAAAGGCGGAGAGAACGTTATTGTTAACTATCAAATCACTATAATTGAAACAATTAAACGATGATTATTTGGAAACGTTTCTATATTATACGTAATACCACCAAATACAGCGAGATTCAATGGTATAATCGTGCAATAACAATAACGCTATTCAATTTAATAATTCAATATTGTCTTTTCTCATTTCGTGTATTTTGCTCCGTGAAATCGTGCGGTATTCAACGTGTTAATGATAGAAAAAGGAAAATGGTTGAATGATATTGGAAGAAATCTTGGATTGATTAAATCGAACGATGAAAGGTGTAATTGTATATATTGATAAACGATTTTATTCCAGTTTGCAATTGTCCCTTCCGTTTATCAAATAAGTGACGATATTTATTGGAATATGATACTTTTTGATTATCAGAGTGGAAAGTTACAAATGGTCCCATTTATTGAACCTACTGTTCAGAATGTAGGTAGATACTTTGTATGAATTCAATCGAAAATCTAATTCGAATGTTAGTACATCGTAAGAAGAAGATTTAGAAAATCAATCTTTCCTCGGCTGACTTAAAATATCCGTTACACGTATTCCCATCGCGCACTGTTACCGTATCACTGAGTTATATCACCGTATCGAAATTCCAGACGTATCACGATGTATCCGATAAAGTATGAAAAGCTACGTTCATTTCAATATTCCATCGTAAACATTTTCATGGTATTCGAAGATCAATAATTGTAGCAAAATCGGGCTAAATGTGCCGGAACTGAGCCGAGGGTAGAGTTCTTGCATCTACACGGGAGTATATCACCGATGTCGGAGAGAGCACGTGAAATTCCTATTCCTGTCGGTCGCTTCCTTCTTGCTCTTATAATTAACTAAAATTTCCTTTTCCGTGATTCTTGAAAATCATTCTGACACTTTTATATTTCATCCGCGATTAATAAGATAGTATCATATGAATAATAAATTCGCAAACGTTCAAATTCTCTAAATGTATGATTCAGAGTTTATTTCAACTAGAAAATTTCCGAATGAAAAATAGTTAAAAGAAAAATTATAACTGGAATAAAGAAAAAGAATAATACGTCGAAATTAACGACCACTTATCATCCTTATTGTATATCCATTTAATTATTCAGAATTCATTCCTTGAATAGGTACCTATTCAAATCAATTCAAGTAGCATCGAACTCGGTTACGCAAATCGGAGACCAACGGAACCTTCAAAGAATTCGAATTTTCAAAGAATTTCACTGCCGCTTCTGACAATACGGAACTTCGTTCGACCTATCCCGATTCAAAGCGTCTGAAAGCCGTCGGTAATCGTTACGAATTGGAAGGTAGAGCTCGTGGCTCGCAACAGGAACGAATGTCAATCATACCTATCCGCGGAGATCGACTCGCCCTCGTTCGATTCTCGTCTTTCCCCAAGAGAAGAAGATTCGTGGTTCGTGCCGGTGCACCATTATTCGTTTCCATTTCCTTTGTTACATTCTGCCACACATGTCGTTTGTTCTATGACATTTATTATTAGATTCCCATCATTATACAAACGTGCACAGAATACGTATAACACGAATAAAATGTATTGAACACTGAAAATCTAATGCTATCTACAATATTCGTTCTGGAAACTCATTTTCGATATCGATTCTGTGTTTCTAATTCTATCCTTAGCAATTCCAGTTTGCATATCGATGCAAAATTATGAAGTCTCATATATATCACACTTTATATGTAGCAATACGCGAAACACTGAAATAAGATACCTCCGTTCCTTAACACTAAAACTACCGAGGAGTTGACTTTTTAAAATTCCTCTCTAGAAACTGCGAGACTGCATCTATTGAGACTTTTCACGAAAAATTTACATGGAAATACGAGTTCTAGTTACGAATTACTGAACAGACTTATCCATGAACGAAGGGAACAACTTGAATTTTAAAATTAACCCATTTACATCATAAGCACATATACGCCACCATCGTGTAATTTGTATATCACGAAAAATTAAGATACACTTTATGAGTGCAATAATTTCCCTGTGGCCATATAGGTTTTTGCCTTTTTATACGTTTCGAACCATTTTTATTCTGATGCAATTGAAACATTTTGGTGAGGACCAATTTTTCACTTTTTCGTATGATGCAAATGGGTTAAAACATTCAGGAGTAATTTAAAATTACAGAAGTACTACACGATTACTATTCAAACAAAGTGGACGATTAAATTCTACTATAAGAATAACTCTACGGAAAACCGGTCAAGATTTTCGCGCCGCTTAACGTAAGGGTTAAGATTACGCAAGGATAATTAGATGCGTTAGTCAGCAACACCTTTCCGCCTAACGTCTTCCCGTCGCCCACCCTATTTCTATCGTTCCCCTGCCGTGAACTGCGGGCGACTAATCAACAGCATCGCCGCCCGAGAAATCCCACGATATGACCAATTCCGGCACGGCGGGCGGCGCTAGGGAGAGGGGTCCATATATCCCGCGTTAAGTCGACGTTTTCCGCTCCGCCGGCTCTTCTGATAATGGGCTCCACTGCTAGGTTGATTCCGCAGCGAATTCCGCGGATACCGGCCGCCACGGCGCCTGTTAGCCCCGCGATTCCCGATCCTTTACGATTGCCGGCCACCGGTTTAATGATTTTATTAGGGACCGTTACCGTAAAATCAGATTTCCCAACGAGCCAGACAGGGATAATTGAAAGCGTCCGGGATTTTTGGAATCTCCTCCAGTAAACTCTAAAAAGTGAACGGGTGTATATATGTGTGTTACGGATCGCAGATACCGATTTGAACTGCTTGCTTTGTAATAACGTGTCACACTGGCGGAGATTTAAAATAACATTGAACGGACGCGGAGATTAGATACTCGATTCTTTGGAATTCTATAATTGAGAGGGAATATAAAGATAAAGTGCGTCTAAAATTATTCTAATTTCTTTTTTCGATACATTATTAAAGACAAAGTAATTGTATTATCGTCTAGATGATCGTCTAGATGATTGTTTACGTAATTACTGCCGTCTACGTCGCGATGATTCCTGAAAGTTAATACGATATCGTAAGCCCGATATGTTCCAACGAAGAACGAAAATATACTGCGCAAACGGCAAGTAAAGACGGAAATTTAGAGTGCGAGATATCGAAGGCAGGAATGCTAGTGAAAATTTAAAGATAATATTGTAACGGAAGAGAAATTCGCATGACATTTTTCATTGTCGAATCGGACATTGTATTCGAAAGCGGGAGACTGTCTCGATACGCTCATCGTCAGAATATTACGAGGCTCGTATCAGAAACGAGTCGCAATAATAACGGAGAGGATCACAGATTAAATGTGTATATATCACTGGAACGGGGTTCGATTTCAGAGCGTATTTCATACGACGTATTGATCGAACACGTAACCTAGATTCCGAGTGAAAAACGCAGAAACTTTCTCGCGATTCGATTGAACGGGAAGGAGAAAGAAAAACTGAGGGGGAAAAAGGAACTGTTTAATTAGCCTCTGACGGTATGACAGCCCAATTGTGCGCTCGCCGGACTTTTAATTAATGACGGGAACTGCTCGCTCGATAGTATAAATTTTACGCGAACATGTTTCCATTCTAATCAAACGAATTACTTACAT